GGCGCTCTCTCCCCCCCCCCCCCCCCCACACACACACACTTCATAATGAGATCTGGAGGGAAAAAGCTGCTCGATTAAAAATTCGGCACTTCGTTTTCCTTCAGATGAACGGCACAAAACATTAGAACATGGTTTGGTTTCCCCTTTTGGAGACTGGTGCCCCTTTCATTTATGTATTTGTTTATTTATTTTGCATTGCCGTAACAAAAGGGGTCGGGGAGCCTGGGGAGCTGGATGCTGGAGGGGTGAGGACTGCCTGGTGGCGGTCGTCGTGCCTCGGCCCACGGACTGCGCTTTCGCACGCCTGCGGTCCGGTCCACTTCCTCGGCGCCCTTCTGATGCGTGTCGCATGGCAGCGAGGGCGTGAAAGGAAAGAAATTTCAATAAAGATGCAAGAGATTATGCAGTGTACATAGTACGGCAATAAGATGTGGTGCACTGATTTTTAAGAAAAGTCTTAAATTGCTATAGTCTTTTGGGGTTAAAAAAATACAAATAGTGTTTCAGTTATATTACCTTGTCAAAACCACCATATAATCTCACAGGGGTGGGAAATCTGTTTGCAGACAAGGTTTTTCATGTATTATTATACCTGCTACCCAAGAATTCCTCCTTATTTAACCAGCAGAACTGTATATGTAAAGAACAGAAGAAACTGCTATCTTAGCTTTGTGTGGCTGTGTATAGGCAATACTATTTCCACATAAGGTGACTTTTAAGAGGGAGGAATTCTAGTGTAATTGTTTATTGCCATTTTAGGAAGTAAAAATTCAGTATGTGCTGATTATTTGTATGTTGAACTGATTTAAAGCGTAACACTGAAATTTATATAGTCCAGGTTCCCCTCAGTAAGGGGCAGACAGGGAGGAAAGAGCTTTTCCTTCCATACGTGGTGCTACGGGTACCAAACCACTGCGGGGGAAGTCGCTGTCCTCTGCTGTACGCTGCTTTGGGCTCCTCGGCTCTCAGGCTGAGGACCTGTTCTTGTAAACCTTGATTCTGTCAGGCTTCCTAAACCTAAATTCTCTAGTGGTTTAGCCCTTCTCTGCTCTTGGAAGTCTCTAGAGCTATTTTTAAAAATCCAGTGTTGCCTGTCATCAGTAGCCACGTTATTGCTTCCCTTTGATCCTCTGATCTTAAAGAATAAGGCTCTATAAAAGGCCATGGCTGCCCAGCTCTTTTGGTCAAAGTCTTATGAGTCTAAGGAAGAATCCTGAAGAATCCTCAGGCTAGGGACTGAGTAGATGGAGAGCAGCACTGCTGAGGAGGCCCTGGGGTCCTGGTGGACAGCAAACTGCACGTGAGCAAGTCCAAGTAGGCCAACAGCATCCTACGTTGTATGAAGCTAGTAGACTGAGGGAAGTGATTATCCCTCCTTACTCAACACTTATAGACTGTGCCTGTAAAACTGTGTCCCGTTTTGGCCCCCTCAGTTCAAGAAAGATTGATAAACTGGAGTGAGATCAGTCGAGGGCCACCAAGCTGGCCAGGGCTGGAGCACAGGCCCGATGAGGAGAGGCCGAGGGTGCAGGGCTTGCTCAGCCCGGAGAAGGGGAGGCTTTGGGGGACCCAACAACAGCTCCCCGGTATCTACAGGATCATCAGGAAGGCAGAGCCAGGCTACTCACAGTAGTGCATAGCAGGAAAATGAGAAACAGCAGGCATATGTCCATTCTGAAGCTCTCTTGCTTCAACATAAGGAGAAACTTTTCCCCTGCAACAGTCAAGCAAGAGAATGGGTTGTCCAGAAAGCTTATGCAGCCTCTTTCATTGGAGGTTTTTAAGACCAGACTGGATAAAACCCTGAGCAACCTGGTCAGTTGACCCTGATTTGAGCAGGAGGTTGGATAGAGACCTCTGGAGGTCCCTTCCAACCTGAATTATCTTATGAGCCTATGAACAGTTGCAAGTTTGTGCTCATCCTTAAGTGATCTAAGAAGCAGGCATGTTTCCAGAAGTCAGAGTTTTTTAGAAAGGAGTAGAACTTCCATCCTAAAACTATTGCATTTCAGCAAAGACAGAATGTAGATGTTAGTATGCTATACCAGCCAACTGCTATTACCTGTGTGGGTAAACTAATATATTACTCCTGATTGTAGGAAGAGCTATTTGGTTAGCATATTTGTATTTTAATGCAGATATAAACAAAAGCAAGAACCTACTTCTTGCAAGCAAGGACCTTTCTTAAGTAATGTCTTTCAGAGCTCCTGTGAGGCAAATAAAGCATTGCAACATTAATACAAGAAGCATATTAGTAGTTCTTATAGCTGGGGAAAATAAAGCACTGATACAGTCACATGCACATCACAGGGTAAGAGGAAGAGCTTGAAGCAGAATCAGAAATCACTAATTCTTAGACATTCCACCAAACATGTGATTGCTGAGTTGAGCATTCATTATGAATACCTTAGGTATTTGCAAATGCTTTTATTCTACTGAGGAAGAATTAAAATATGGTGATCTGACTTGTGTGGTGTGGTTTTTGTGGTTTTGTTTTGTGTGGTGGTGGTGGTGTTTTTTTTTTTTTCTTTCCGTTCCTGAGGACCCATTTACCCTGGAGAGCTGGTTGAAGCGTTCAGTGCTTTAGACTTGTCCTGCGTGTGGGAGCAGAATGTACAGCACTCAAACTTTTTGTCATGGCATCTGTGAGGACATTTTTTCCAAGTCTCACTTTTATCTAAAACTTAAGTCTCATCTTGGCTAATAGTATTGTTTTCCAGAAAAAAGAGTCTTCTACAACTGGTAAAAGCAGTTAAGGAATAAGCTATTTCCTTCTAGTGCCAGTGGGTAAATGCACTGTATCATCTGAGTGCACCATATTTCTTTTTGGCTGCAGTACTTATTGCCTTCATTCACCTACTGCAGCAGAGGAGGGTAACTCACACTTCAAGAGGACTAAGTTAGAGCTGAGCAGGGGTGCTATGGAAAACTGTAGGGTTGATAGATATTTCCACCTAGGAGAAGGAGGAAAAACCAGAAGCCCTATAGGGAGAACAAGGAAAAAGTATTATCATTCTTAGATAATAAGGTTGAGTGAGATACCGCTAAAGGTGCATACTCTGAAGTATACTCATGCATGAAGGGATCGTTTTCTTTTGAACTAGAGGTAGATGAAGAGGAAAGGACAAGTTGGCAAAAAGGGATACAGGAAGTCTTCAAA